CATTTGTCTGGAACAGTATAGGGTTTCCTGCCTAGGCAGGGGGTTGGACTAGAAGACCTCCAAGGTCCCTTCCAACTCTGCTATTGTATTGTATTTATGGCATATAATTATCTGCTTATAAGTAACATACAGTATGCATGCAGCTGCTTTTTACCAGAAATAAAAATACTGAACTCAAGAATTGGACAAAGACTTTAAACAATATTAAAATAAAAATCTTGAAGATTTTGTCTCTTTCTGTTTTGATTTGAGGGAGTGGAATGAGACAGGGAGAAAGACTCACAAACACACAAAAAATTGGCTCTTTTGTGTATTCCTCTATTGTTTATTTGACTTTAGGATTTTTCTTTCCATCTAAATCAAGAAATTATCTTAGATGGCAAGCTAAAATACCAGCAAGAAGTTGTATTTTTACCTCTATCAGCAAAGCCATTTATGACTCTATTTATTTTAATTTACTAACTGAAAGTTACATTTAAGTATTTTGATCCAGCCAGATGATTTAAAGCTTTGAGATATTAAACTTCATCAGTTTCACATCATACCTTAAATACATCTTGCATCCCAGGCAATGAATTTGGCACAACTAAAGACCATTGGCCAGTTTCTTACATGTTCTCAATCTACACTGCACTGAACTCTTGGGGCATAATTTAGTGCTCACTTGAGAATGGAAATTCAATCTTTTCGCTTTTTCTTTTAAAGATATGGTTAAAAGTATTATCAAACCTCCAATTAATATGTACCTGGTTTGGTTTCATCAATAATATGTTTTTGGAATCTTTTTAATGTAAAAAGTAAAAGCCAAATAACATTTTGAGATATTGCTGCTGACATATAGAAGGAAGTTCTGATCCAAAATAATTTTATAAAAACATCTTAGAAGCAGTGAATCAAAAATGTTTCTCCCCCACCACCTCTGAGTATAGTGCAAAATCTTTCCAAGATGTCTCTGTGTTAATGTCCATTGGGACTTGTACAGTAGAGAGCACACATTGGTTGAAGGAATTCACGAGTTACAACTGATGGAGCTAATGAGTTCTAATTTTCTAATCATATCCTCTTTTGAAACTTTTTAATCAATGTTAACCATTTGTATTACATGTATATAACTTGCCTCCTGAAAAAGCATCTTTGGGACAACCTTGATCTGGATGACTGAGAATCTCCATAAACTGTAAATGGGAACAAATGCAAAGTTATACTGGGGAGAAAAGTGGTTTATAGAAAAAAAAGATAAACTTGACTTCATATACCTGGGTTGGAAAATTTATCAGGGTCAGCATTTTCCACTTCAGCAAGTTTTAGTTTCACTGTTTTGATGTTTAAATTATAATTGATCTAAAAATTGTATTTATAAAGGTACATTGCAGTGGCATGTTATTGTATAGCCTTTTGTTTTGGCCCCAGTATTCCATCCCCCCACCCAAAAATAGCTTTTTGTTGCTTTAAATGTACTGTCCAAACTTCATAAAATAGTGTACATATTTTTTTAATAAAAAGATGCCCAAATTCTAGTACAGATTATTGGATTTTGATAATTGAATTTAATTTAATTTATAATAATGAGCACAGGATTCAAAATTTTCCAGAAAACCCAACTGGCGATCGAAACTCATTTTTATATTAAGTACGGTAGCTTATATTGTTTTCATTGTCTTATACAGGTGAAGTACAGATCCCAGATCCTGATGATACTTTGGGCCAAATGGATGGACATATTAGACCCGTTCCAACACACAAAGGTATTAGAAATAATTTCATTTTTTAATGACTGTGTTGTTGAATTACAAGATCTGAATGTTTTATTTTTATTATCTATTATTACTATTACTTATTCATATGATCTATAAAAATAATATACCTTGAGAAGTTCTATTTGTGTGGTTGCTAACAGACAGCCCACACTTGATGCCACAATCAGTTTATTATACAGTGGTACCTTACTACTCAACTGCTTTGAATCTCATCAGATTTGGTATTCAAATCTGGTATTCAAATTTTGTCTCAATAATAATCACTTATTTGGTTCTCAATGCACAAGCTAGAAGTTGTTCCTTTTCACTCACAACATTATTCCTTATGGGGAAAATTGTTTGGTACTCATTGTTTTTGGTAGTTATTGCATCTCCCAATGCCAATTAGTGATGAGTATTGAGGTACCACTGTAACTGAAAATTGCTGTGTGTTCAAAAAAGAATGGCATATCAAATAAAGCTACCGTATTTTTCGAAGCATTAGACAAACTTTTTTCCCTCAGAAAAGAGGCTGAAAATCTGGGTGCATCTTATACACTGAATACAGAATTTTTTACCTCCTGAAACCCTGCCCCCTTCACCAAAATGCCGGTGAATAGCCTATAGGAGGCTTTCAGAGTCCTCCTGGGGGCTGGGGAGGGCAGAAATGAGCGAAAAACAGTTTTTGCTCAATTTCTCCCCCCCCCCCCCAGGAACAGTGTACAAGCCTCCTAAAGGCTATTTTTAAATTTGCCTCCTCAAAATCTTGGTGCGTCTTATACTCCGAAAAATACATTATATTTCTTTATTTCAACAAGAGCTTTCAAGCTATTTCTTATTTTGGTCATTGAATATGAATACTCAAACTCCATCCTAGACCAAGTCCTAAATGGTTTTTCCCCCCTGTGGCCTTGTTTTCCAAAATATAGTTAATTAAAATGCATTATCTTCTTTGGAGAAGAATTAAAGCAATATTTTTCCTTATCTATTTCCCATCTTTTCTGTGAAAAAGGAGAAGCAGTTACCTCTGTTGTAGAAAGTAAATCAAGATCCTCCCCCCCTACATGTTAGGGAACTTCAAGAGTTGAGTTTTTTTGAATTGTGGGGGAGGGTTGTTGCCAGTAATGAAAGAAGCAAATCCTGGAAAGGGGGGGGAAACTGAGGGGTGGTTTTTTTGCATCCAAGATAACTCATTGATTAGGATAATGTTGACTCTGACGAACATTATTTATAGCTTGGTTGAACATTGTTATGAAGTATGCCTTTTAGTTTTAAAGATGTTTCTAACTTAGTTTGTTTCAACCAATCTAGTATTTGAGGCCCCAAAAATAGCTAGTAGCATCTTTCTTAATAAAAGGCCATCAAAGTTTGCTGCTCTTCCTCGCAGTTATTGTCAATTGACTAATAATTTATGATGGCTGTCTCCAGAACAATAGCAGCTTCAGTTAAACTACAGTTACATTGTGTTATGTCTTTCAAGAAAAGTATCTCTTACTCTGTTCAGTCAACAAATGGGTGGAAACTAATCAAGGAGAGAAGCAATTTAGAACTGAGGAGAAATTTCTTGACAGTTAGAACAATTAATCAGTGGAACAGCTTGCCTCTAGAAGTTGTGAATGCCCCAACACTGGAAGTCTTTAAGAAGATGTTGGATAACCATTTGTCTGAAATGGTATAGGGTTTCCTGCCTAGGCAGGGGGTTGGACTAGAAGACCTCCAAGGTCCCTTCCAACTCTGCTATTGTATTGTATTGTAAACCATTGCCCAACTGATCATCCAGATCAGTTACTCCAGTGTAAATATGGCACTGGGATTTTCCCATGTCACTAATCAAGAAATATTTTATATGTTGACAATCTGTACAAATCAGCCAATATTGAAATCCTGGGAATATTTATGGTTTTGGCAGTAAATCATACTTAAACATTATAGTGTTTGGGTTATTTTACATGAAGGAATAAAATAACTCCAAAGTAGGGTCGTGAATTTAGGTTATGATACTATAATACATCTACAGTAGTATCTGCATACTCATTTTCCATTATCTGGAATTTGAAATGTTTGAACTTTGTGTTCCTACACTATCTCTGACATGTATTGGCATTGTTCTAGCGTCTCAGAACTCAACTTAGCCCTTCTCTTTATAAGCTATTTTGAGCACATACTAAAACTTGGAATGTTGTTCTATGGAAATTATGCTTGGCTATATGCCAGCCAACTTCCCCCCCCCCCCGTCCATAGCATAATATACACTGACCCAGTTTAAAATCAACCTGCCAAGAATCTGAGCACTTTAGAGTAATGTGTAATGTATCTAAATTTTGAAGCACATAATTTGAGGTTATTATTCATACAGCTCAATATTTATTTAGAAATTCTGGTAAAGATTTCTTGTTTTGGAATACAATATTTTGTTGTCCAACTTGTTTGTTTCCAATACATAACTGTTAATTCAATGCATTCCATATGTGGAATCTGAGAGTTAGATTAAATTCACATTTGGGCACCTGCTGTAATTTATATACCTTCATGAGTTTTATAGTCTGCTTTCTCTTAGGTAACTCATTAAATAGGTAAACAAACTATAAATACAAGAACAATATGTCAAATTTGTAACAAGAACAACAACAAAAGAAGAAGGAAACTGAAACTGAATGCAGCAGACTGTGAAATTAAGTTTTGAGTGTGGAAGAATCATTGTGTCTGACTGTGAATATATACATTGGCATACCTGCCCAGATAGAAAGGGGAATGATGAAATAGATGTAAGTGAAGGTGGCTTGCTCTTGCCTATCAGAATTGACTGACACATGCAGAGAAGTGAATTATGAAGGAAAAGACTAAAATGTGCAACTATAGTTCTTGGTTAATGATCACAGTTGGGATTAGCAACTCTCCCGCTAAGTGGCGCATTTGTTAGACACTGGACTGCACTGGACTGCACTGGACTTATCATTCACACTGGGGTTGTTAAATGAATCACCTGCAGTTGTTAAGTGAGATGTAATATGACCACAACTTCCAGTTTTACTGCCGACTTCACCACTGATGTGCCTGTTGGAAGCTGGTTATGAAGCATCATTTGTGTAATGCTGTTATGGTCATAATTTTTTGCAATTCCACAGAAGTTATGAGCAAATATGAGCCTCTCTGAGAGGCTACCATAATTGGGTGATATATTGTATTTGGCATGGAAAGCTACAAGTTGTTTAGACTTGCTTAAAATTAATAGGCATTGTGTAATTGGGACACACCCTTTTTTCTTCAGTATTTAATATAAGTAGTGTCAAGATAGCGTGAGAATGTTTGGAATTTCAGCAAGTACTGCACCATTCAATTTGCTGCCCCTTCCTCTGCAACTATGTCAGAATTGCAATTTCTGGAACTCTGGATGAAATTTTTGGAATCAATACCCTGACTCATTTTGAAAACACCAAAATCGGGAAACTTACACTATACAATTCATCTTTTAATTCACATGTTACAGATTTTCAAATTAATATTTCCTGCACCCCATTAACTCAGGCATATGCAGTAGACTGACATATATGTCAGTAGATTGACACGATTCTGCTGTAGAGGAAGAAAAAAAGCCTGAGTAAGTTTATACAGATAAATTAATTATTGGTTATACATACTGTATATTAAAGAATAATCAGATATGTATCATACTAGTAAAGAAAAGGAATGTTGTTGGTCAAAATATTTATGAAACCAATTCAAGTATTGAATTAAACTTAAGCTATTTTTAAAGAACTGTTTAACTAGTTCTACATACCCCAACAAAAGGCATCCCTTTCTCATGCTACATGAGAAAGCTCAATGGATTTCAAAATACATTTAGGTAAGGAAATGGAAATTGAGATTGTCCGCCCTTAAATAAATAATGAGTCTAATATCCAAGCTTTGGAATGCTTCTAGAATATCTTCTTGGATTTCAGCCAATCAAAGTTCTTAGTCAAACTAAAAGCTGTTGTAACATAACTATACTTGATGCTCACTTCTGACCAAAAGTTAATATTCCACAGAAATATAACTTATATTTAACAATATTTTGTGTTGTTTCAGTTCAGATATTAAATGTACCTTTAATGTATTCTTCCTCTGTATATATTTAAATCATAAAATTATCTTATGTCTGTTAATTCATATTCTGAATTACTTTTTTACAAAAATTCTTCTATATTTTGTGTTATAATTGTACAAAATATAAAATTCTGAAATAGCATGGCCAGTAATTATTAAGTTGCATTGGTTTGTTTAGCATTATACCTGAGATAATCCAAAATACTGATAAAATGTAAATACATTTATATCTCAACTATTTAAGGGGTTGCTTTTTAGATAATATGATATGCTAAAAATTTCATCTGATCAAATTGTCAATACAAGTTTGCATTTAGATCTGAGAGCTTTTAGTATATGCTAGTATGTCTATTATGCTATTTGGTTTACATACATTTTATTTTTTTTAAAAACCATAATTGAAAGTCATTGTAGTGATCTTAACAAATTCTGAAGAAAGCTAAACAGTACTGGGTTTAGTTAATACTTGGAAGACATAGTAAAATTTCCAGAAGTGCATTGCCCTTGCCTTTTTCCAAGTGCTGAGAGAAAGTGACTGGCCCAAGATCACTCAGCAGCCTTCATGCCTAAAACTCACAGTCTCCCAATTTCTAGCCTAGTGGTGGGATTCAATTTTTTTTAGTACCAGTTCTGTGGGTGTATCTTGGTGGGTGTGGCAGGGGAAGGATAGTGTAAAATCTTCATTCCCACCAGTGGTGGGATACGACCGGTACACCCCGGTATGGGCATACTGGTGCCTGCTGGAAGCACCAGGTACCATTCTGGTACGGTGCTCCGGAGAGCCCACACACCCGTGATCCTTACCTATATTTGAGCTGTTCAGGGCTTACGCGCACAGAGTGTACGGTGTCTGTGCTCCGCTCCACTGAGCAGCTGGAGCATTGCAAGCGGTAAGTATGCATATGCGCGCTGCATGCATATGT